CGATACAAACTGTCTGCAAAATGATATGTTAAGGAATTCAGTGAACAAAACACAGATGACATATGGCCTGTAAGATAGATTAAAACTCTAATATCCCCTCATTTTTGCATATCACTTAAAAGTCATTAAATTTTTTTAATAAAATAGATCAATATGTGATATATCACTACAAAAGCATGCATGTTCAAATTCAACCTATACAAGTAGAAAAAAAAAAACAAATTTGACTATAAATATAACACGTATTTCGCAGTTAAATTTGTCTTTTTTATTTTGAATTTTGTAAGTCGAAGTTTAACATGCATGTTATGCATGTTTGTGGAAAGATATATCATATATTGATCTAACTTAGCAATTTTTTTCAGATTTTTTAATGACATTTTAAACGTCATACACGAAACGAGGGGATGTCTCTTCGAGGGACAAAACCCATCTCCATGTAAGATGATATGTGAAATACATGAAACAAAAACAGGATTTCATTTTCAGTCTCAAACCATGTTATGGATTCAAGCAAAGGGATTAAAAGCAATTCTAATGGTAGAGGGATAATTGCTACATTCAATTTTCGTTTCACATCATTTACTCATCGATTAAAAGTTAACATATGCAATATACTATCTCTAATACGATAGCTCCAACACATAATAACTATTTATTTATTCATTTGCAAGCAATCCATTACTCTTTTTTTTTCTGGAATTGGTGTAAGAGGTCACCTTGCATGACAGGTGGCTCCTCTCTTTTCTTATTTCTCTTGTCTATCTCAGCATGTACTTGCTCTAATTCTCTAAAGTGTGTTTTACAGGGATGCTCAACAAGAGGACAGGTGTACCCTAAACTTCCCAGATCCATCGGTGCCAAATGTGCAATTAGAAATGTTAAAGAGAACAAATAGAAGAGGGAGTAAGATTGGATATCCATACCACTATATACCACTTGCGCTTCCCATCATTGAAGGTATGCGTCCCAAAACTCCAGCAATCATATATTGAAGTGAGAATTGATAACCCAGTGGAAACCATTTTGAATTTGAACACAAGACTCTCGTCGTTATCCATGTTTTTATGCATCTGTCAAAACATAGAATTGGTCAACACTCAAATCTTATATATATGTGTGGAATAAGAATTAATGTTAATGTTCGAAATGATTCAATTTTAGTAGTGAAAGGAAAATACTACAATGATTTTTACGAGAAACTTTAATGTTCTTCATTAACAGAAATAAATTCACAATATTTATGGTGAAGGGATATTAAAGGGACAAATAACTTCAAAATTTGTGGACCAAGAATAATATATATAAGAAGTTGGAAGTTGATTTATCTGAAGATGAAGTTTCATATAAAAGTTGATTAATTTTAAGACAAAGGAAATGCATACCAGCCGCAGGAAAACAGGGAACACCATCTGTACCACTTGACAAATCAATATGACTGCGAGATACCATGGCATAAGCTGATGCGAGAGCAGCCATTCCATTGCCATACCATGCTTCATGTGTGCAAGCTTGTTCTTCTTCCTGTCTCACAAAAGCCTTCATGGACAGATTGAAGCAACTGCCCGTTTGGTATGTGTATCCTTGTACCTTAAGGATTCAATGTTTTATATGATCCAATGTTTTGTGTGTTTAGTACTGCAACTACAAATTTCGACTGTTTTATGCGTGTGCTTTGTTTTGAGGTTTGGCCGTGTCTGCCCATTTGTCATATATCTTTTGCCATATATAAGCATCTGCTAGGGAGAACATTGGCTATGAATTGTTATAGGGAGAACATTTGTTATGAATTTTAGAACTTCATGTGGAACCATCAACTCGTTGGATGTTTTTTTTTTTTTTGCCTCTGCACGTGAACAATTTCTGTTTACAACTTTAATGCAAACCCTTCATTAGAAAAAAAATAGCTAAGCATGCAGCTGTACTCGCGATTGCAATGACACAAAATTTATACTGTATTTGACAATAGCTGGGTGCTAGGTTTGTCAAGATTAATTAGTTGCAGGACTTTGCCAATTAGAAAAGAAAAAGCCCGATGTAGCCCAGTTTTCATCTGGCCCATTAAAAACTAGTACCACATTTGGGATGACTCGAAACAAAACAAACGTGGCACATAAGCCATTATCTAGCGTGAGTTCTTTTGTACTACTTCCTCCGTTTCACAATGTAAGTTATTCTAGCATTTCCTATATTCATATAGATGTTAATGAATCTAGATAGATATATATGTCTAGATTCATTAACATAAATATGAATGTGGAAAATGCTAGAATGACTTACATTGTGAAACAGAGGGAGTAGTTCATTATGAATTTTAATTTGATCATGATTGACGTATAGATGTGATTCTTTTGTCGTTTAATCAATGACAGATTCTTAGCACTGATATGCGCTTTTCACAGCAGTCACTAGCTCCTCTTGCAGTAAACAGGCACAAAATAGTGTCATAGATGACGAAAATGGTATCCTTGTTAATCCCCAGCACGAACACGAACATACAGGTCTTGAGATATGATGAGCCCATGTCGATCACCAGTGTTTCACCTCCAAAACAGTCGAACACTCTCGTCCAATTCTTCGTAACACCAAAAGCAACCCTGAAAACCAGAAAAATTAAAGGAAATGATCACAAACCACGGATCGATACTTGGATAGATGGGTGTTCTTCTCAGCTTTCCTGGCTACTGGTAGTAGGTACTCCGGTGCAGGCGTCGGCGCTACGCCTGCACCATCAGAGGCAACAAGCAATGTCGCTATTCGCAGTGGATTTGGATGGAGGTGACATCCACCAATTAATGACCTAGCTACAGAATATATCATGAAAAAAAAGAGGCATTTTTTTTTAGGAAATTTCATTCAAAAAACAAGTAAAAACTTTTGATAGATCTAACTGAGGAGGACGACTAAGGTGATGTTTGGATCTAGGGACCCAAATTTTAGTTCATGTTACCTCGGATGTTTGAATAAAAAACGGTCGAAGAACAAGCCAACCAACGCATACAACGTACCAAAAAAAAAAAAAACCCCATCTGCGACATACTGGTGTGTATAGCAACCCCAAGAACTGAACAGAACGCAGAACGACCGAGCTCCTCGATCGTAGCTAGCTAGCGTTCTCGATCGACCGGTGCATGCACATCTCCTGATGTGATGCTGCTACATCGATCAGAAGCTACACGTACACTGTGATGAACAAGCCTGGCCTTCTTCTTGTTGGCGCTAGCAGCGGCCGGCCGATCGACGAGAGGTTCGCCTCTCAGTCATCCGGACAACAACCTGAAGCTAAGCTTTCTGGCCGGGTTTGAACCCTATCTAACCGCGAGTGACCGTTCAAAAGCGAAACCAACCAAATCGATCCATCGAAATAAGGAGAAAATTTCCTCCAAAAGGACGAACAAGATAGATCTAACTGGGGACCTAGCAAGAATCAAAACCAACAGATCGAAAGGGACACACACACACACACACACACACAAGATTCAAGAACAAGAGCCAAATAAACACACATGCACAGTACTCAACCAAATTAAAAACCTACAATGGCAAGATGCTACTGGAGACGTTGGCCAGGTTGAAGATCCACGACACCCAGTGCATGAAATCCGCAAAGGAGGCCATAGCGTGCAAGTGCAACGGGGGACGAAGGGGAGAGGATGGGGAGGCGCTAGCTAGCAAAGCCCTGCCTAGATAGATGTTTTGGGTTTGGGGAGAGTTTGTGGCGGAGAAGGTGGTGGTATTGATCCAAGTCGAATAGCTTGAGAGAAAATCACATGCTTTGACGCCTGACGCAGCTGCGATTCCCTTCTCGGCTCTCCGCTCTGTGCGGCGGCCTGTAAAAAGTCGAGCTGCAGCAGTGGAGTGGAGTGGAGAGGGCGAGACAAGAATTTTCGAAGGCAAAGCTACTGCAACATTAATTTTCACAAGCTAGCGTCGACAGCTGCACCTCTCTAGTGCCACTGGCCATTTCTCTCACTGCAGCCACTACTACTCGTAGCTGTGTGAGTGTGAGAGACAGACATGCGCAGCTCTCAAAAGTCTCTCACTGCTGATGCATTGAGTTGAGTCGACACACACGTTGCGTGAATAGGCACGCGCGCACGCACACACGTTCATCTGCCCGCCCGTGTAAACTTTCCACTTCCTCTTTTGCAATGGGAGTTACCTACTAGTAGTACTAATTAACTTCGTTTCAGCATAAGTTTATTTTTGGGTTTATGTATCAAACATTTATAACAGTCCATCTTATATAAGAATTTTATGAAGAAGTAAAAAAAATAATCACACATAAAATACTTCTCATGTTTTATCATATAATAACAATGTAAAAAGTTAATTATAAAAAAATTAAATAATATGAAGAGTCAAATGTTGTATCCAAATATTGAAAAATTAACTTTTTATGGGACGGAGATGATGGTACATTCTAGTGGAATTTGCATCTTACAATTTCAAACCTTGTTTTTTAAAAAAAATGTTCTTTTTTTTGCCCTTTTTTTGTGAAAAGCTATTCGCATCTTAGACTTCAAACCCTGTTTCCAAAAAAAAAAAATCGTTCCTTTTTTCCCTTCTTGTGAAAAGCTAGGTTTCTTTCTTTGCTTCAGCATTTATAGGTGACCGTAATGTAAAAGCCGCGGACATATATTTATTGGTGTGGATGACAGAAGTTGTGCTCTCACTATGTCTTAAAAGAAAGAAAAGGAAAAAAATCATATGTTTCATAAAATAGTACTAGGAGAATGAAAGATTGCAAGGGCATCTTATAGTTACAGTGAGTTCACATTGTGTTTAGCAGGAGCCATTTTACAGTTAATTAGTTCTGGTAATTTCAGTTCATTTTAGCTTGTTTGATCGCGCTTAGCAAGTGTTGATTGTTAAGCTGTCAACAAACATGCCTTCTCAAGCCATATATAAGAAAAGTAAAATCCAAACCAATCCTAGTAACATAAGAAGGATAATATTCCTTTCAAACCAATTCTAACACAGAAGCATAATATTTCATTTCAAACATAGTAAGCATAGTAGTACTAGCTAGCATGCTTATAGTCACACTCAGTAATTAAGCATTACACTTAAGGTAGCTGCAATCATTCATAGTGGTGAGTACTCCAAAGTAAGGCATACGATTAACAGTAGTAATACTGATCTAGATCTACTAGAACTAGTGGATACTAGTGCTAATAAAGGACGCAGAAGCACAAAAGCCGCAATGACAACAGAGGTAGTAGTCTACTACTGCGCAATCATCTTCTACTACTAGCCGCTCTGCTCCTCCGGGCCGATCTCATCTTCGATCGATCTAGTGGTGGGTTGATGGCGAACCCTCAGCTGACGAGGATGCAGATGAATGCGGGTTGCTGTGAACGTGGGTTGATGCTGCTGGGGAAGATGAGTGCTCCAGCTTATCCCCGCTGATCTCATCAAGCTCTTGCTTCGCTGCATCCGCCTTCTCAGACGGTGGCTGGCTGCTGCATGGAAAGCAAAACAAACAGCATTAAGATCAAGTGGAACACATCATATAGACAGATTAAGAGTGAATTCAAAGGAGAGGAGATGGTGGCTGGCTCATAGTACCTCCTCATCGTCTGAATCTGGGTGTAGTAAGAGTAAATGCTGACGGAATATCCAAACAAGACAGCGAGCGCTATAATACCGAGCCAAATCACGACGATCCCAGCAATATCGCCGAAAATACCAGCGAAAAACAAAGGTAAAACTGTGATGATGGAGAACACGACGAGAAAAACGTAAAATCTCCCATCTCCAAGAAGAGCCCCTCGCAAGAGGTGCCGCGTGACCAAAGTGGTCGCGAAGAAGAGATAAGCCAAGATGGTATAAGAAAGATCACGCAGAACATCCTCCACACGGAAACCATCATCATCAGTGGTGGCGTACGGCCACAAAATCATCCAAGAAACATAGGCGGTAGGAAAAAGCAAAGTAATGGAGATCACCGCCGCCGACGAGATGAGCACGGCGCGTGCGTACTCCTCCTCCTCCTCGTCGGCGAAGGCGGGGACGTTGTCGGCGGATTGCTCGGTGCCGTCGCTCCGGCGGCGCTCAGCGAGGGCGTAGCCGGCGAAGGCCGCGGTGAAGATGGAGTTGAGGTAGATTGTGACCGTCCCGATTCTTGTGCCGAAGACGTGGTCGGCGTAGTAGGCGAGCAGGGCGCCGAAGTAGACGTCGACGACGATGGCGCAGAAGCTCTTGGTGACGAAGAGGACGTTGGCGCAGAGGAAGAAGTAGGTGGAGAGGAGGAGGGAGAGCCTCCACACGAGGAGCGGCGCCGGCGCCTCGCCGGCGGAGAGCCAGAGGAGGATCGGCATCGCCAGCGCGAGGAGGAGTGTGAGCATGATCAGCGTGGCCTCCCGGTCCCTGCGGTCCCTCTCCGGGTCCTCGCCGAGCTTGCTCAGCTCGGCGCGGCGGAGGCGGATGGCGCGGCGGCGGAGGAGGTCGCTGGTGTGGCGCTCGTGCTCCTCCCCGGCCGCCGCCGCCGCTGCGACGAGGCTCGCCTTCTCCCCCAGGTCGGAGTGCTGGATCTCGGTCATGTCGGTGGTGCGCGGCGAGGCGGCGAGATTAGGGTTTTGCGCGAGGGGAGGGGAACTGAGGATGGGGATTTTTTTTTTTGAGGGAAGCTTCGCGGCTGTTTCGCTTCGACTGCACTGTCCTCCTTTTCAGCCAGCCATTGGCCGCAATAAATGGGTTGGGGGGGGGGTGTTGGATTTTCGGCTTCCACCGCGGGCATCACTCATGTGAAGAATTTCATTCCAGTATATAGCTCCTCGGGCAACAACTGGAAGAAAAAAAATGGTGCTAATACTGTCGTAAGATCCTAAAAAATGGCATTAAATTAAACATATCAAAAGAATTCAATAGTACAGTATCAACCTATTAATTATAATTGACCGATATGGTTCGTTGCAACATTATTACCTTCACCAGCAAATTTGTACAATTAGACGCTGTTTAGATCCCACACAGAAATTTTACACCCTATCACATCGAACGTTTAAACACATGCATGAAGTATTAAATATAGGCTAAAAAATAACTAATTATATAGATTGCGACTAATTTGCAAGACAGATCTTTTAAGCCTAATTGCTTTATGATTTGACAATGTTGTGTTACAGTAAATATTTGCTAATGATGGATTAATTAGTCTTAATACATTCGTCTCGTTGTTTACTCACGGATTCTGTAATTAATTAGTTTTTTATTAGTGTCCGAACACCCTATGCGACACCTTATATAATACCCGATGTGACACTACTACAAAAGAGGTTTTTTGCATACGGGCGGGAGAGATTTTCGCCAATCGCATGCGAAAATCGTCTGTGAAAATCGCCATCTTTGCATGTGGTCAGGGCACCCGCATGCGAGCCGATCGCATGCAAAGAGAAAAAATCACGAAAAAAAATAAAATTCCAAAAAAAAACCTAGCCGTAGGTGGCGGTGCCGCCCCGCCCTAGCTCGCTGGCCGCTCCCGCCGCCACCTACCCCCGCTCCCGCCGCCCGCCGTCCGCCCCGGTTCCGCCGCTGCCCGCTAATGATGACTTAATTAGACTCAAAAGATTGGTCTCGCGGTTTCCAAGCGGCTTAACTTTGGGTGAATTCATCTTCAGGCTCAGGTCAAACAAAGTAATTATTTAAAAGTAATCTTTTGCCAAAGTAATTTTTTACTCTTGTACACTCGTTTATACCTTCATTTTTTCCTTTCAGCTCACGTGATATGTGTGTGTTATGATCAAGTCAAGGATATACTCTCTCCCTCTCTCTCTCTCACACACACACTGTACTTTAGTTCGCACATCACTGCTATGTAAATTATTGAAGCGCGTCAGCTTGAATTGCAGTGAACAAAAGGGAAAAAAGAAAAAAAAAGAAGAAGCACCACTTCGTTTGGTTACACTCTGAAATTAATACAGAGGAAGCACTGTTCAAAGCAGGACCCCATTTTTTTCGCCAACCATGCGAAAAGATCGATGCCACTGCTAACATTGCAAAATGCCATTTCACTTAAATGCAAAGGAGAACGCTAGCCTTTTAGTTTTTGTCTTTTCTCCGGCATATGCACGGTTCACTTAAATTCTGTTCTACCCTAATTTATATGTAAAATATTCTATATATGTCCTAAGGGATTTAAAAGCTAATGTTGAGAAATAAACTATGATGAAAAACCCTTAAAAATCAATTCTAAAATTAGGGTTTTGTAAAACAATGTTGGTTACAGCTGATAAACCAGAACTCAACACGATGAAGTGTTGATTTGGGGTTTGATATCCTACTAAAATGTTTGGTTCTACTAGATAGTAAAATTTGGCGCAAATATAAATAATCATGATGATACTATTTTTAAGTCAAAATAAATTGGCACCGTGAAAGGCATCAACCCAAATATGCTCGAAATAACATAGGGAAAAAAAGATTTCAGATCCTTGTGAATTGTAACTAACATCATTAGACGCTTTAAGGGGCCCTTTGAATCTTGGGATTAAAAAAAATAGAGAAATAGCAAAACCACATGATTCTAATAGAAATATAAGTGTAAAACAGAAGATACAGGAATATCCGTTTGATTGGACTGCAAGGAAAACGTAAGACTTGAATGAGAGCGATATACTCAAAGAAAAATTTCCAATAGCTCTTGTTAAGTTTTTTTAAAAAAAAATTATAGGATTGTCTATATATTCTATAGGAAATTCAAAGGATAAGATAGGATTCACAAAACACGATCCACCACTCGGAATTGCCATTGGAGAAAGAAACTGATACGAGCTGTGTTTCTGGCATCCAAGGGAGAGGATGACATGATGAGCAGTTGAGCACATGATGGCGACCAATTCGTTCGTCCGCGCGCGTACGTCCGTACATCCATCGATACATCCATCACACTGAAGTTCTCGAGCCTACAGGCCGGGACCCATGCTTTTTTAGGCTGTGTTTAGTTCCTATCAAAGTTGAAAGTTTGGGTTGAAATTGGTACGACGTGACTGAAAAGTTGTGTGTATGACATGTTGATGTGATGGAAAAAATTGTGAAAGGCCGAAGTCTGGGTTATTGCTCGATTAAACGAATTTATTTTATGTGGTAGTACGGTCACATTTGCGTGCATCGCTTTTCCGTACATTTGCTAGCAGCCTCATGATTCACTAATTTTTGTGTACGTTGATGTAAAGAAGAGCTAACTACTAGTAGCACAGTAGTAGTAGTTATTACAGAACTTAATAATTTGTATCAAATCAAAGCACAATAAAGCTATTTTTAATTTGAACATGCATGTGTATTAGCTCTAAGTTATAGAACGAGATATTCGCCTATACATTTTTGCTTTGGTCGGTCCATTTCCTAGGGGAGGTGTACAGAAGATATCCAGCACACACATGCCAACTTTTTAAAAACCGATCGAGAAGAGATCATTCATATATACTCCCTGCATGCATGACGCAGACACATATCGTATGTAGAGCGACTGATCCCTGCTGCTGCATCTCTGCTGGTGCTGATGGATGGGCACACTACAGTGTTGCCTCCTCCTTGGGAACCCAAAATTTAAACTCAACTTTTGCTTCTCCTCCTCTCCAAATTTCTCCTCCCTTTATTTGTTGCAGGGAAGAGGCAATGCACGGTGCAGCTTAGCAATTCAAGCAATGCAATTAATGGATGGATCGATGGTCATGGACGCCCTCGCTATCATGTGCACGCCATCCTCCGGTGGTTGTCAGAACACTTCACCGGCCGGAGACCCGGAGTACCCGTATCAGTATGACGAGAGCTTCTCCAGTGCTTGGAAGTTATCTAGTCCATTGATCAATTAAAATCTAACGGTCTACAAACAAAGGTACGTTAGGAAAGGTAGTAAAAAAGTGGGCCAGGTACTTAATTTGTAGATTAGGTGGAAGGTTAAATAGGTAATTGTGTGCCTCTTATCAAATTAGATAACTAAGAGATGGCAAATCACGGTGTATGTATTTTTTCTTTTGATAGTATGCTATACGTATGCGCCAGGTTATGGAAATTAACTATGTTGTGCCACTACATTCCCAAATTTCACGTCAGTTGATTGTGGGGGAAAAGTGCACTTAAACGTGTGAATGCTTAAAACTTTGACAAGAAAAAAAAAAGGTGAACACATGTAGATTGTGTAACGGGCGATAAATACCAGTTGATTATCTAGTATAGTCAAACAATACTAAATTGTTGTTTTATAGGAAACACAAGTTGGTTGATGCGTATTTTATTATTGTAAAGAAAAGAACAACGAATTTAATACACTGATCATGCATAATTAATGATAAACTAAGTAATTAATCAATAATTGTGTATTTCCCTTCAATCTATACGATCAGATTCTAGTATTGTTCCCAGATAAAGAAAATATTCTCATATCAATTTGTCATGCCTTATGCTCACACGAAACGGGAACAAATAAACGATCAATTTCATGCATGAGCCGGAGATGCAGGTTAATTTAATTTTGGTGAGCAACGGATGCCTGAAAAGTAGATGGACAGTTATGGCTAAGAGCTATTACTAAACTACCCATGTTTTTATAATTTTATTTACAAAATATTCTCATCGAATCAACGGTGCGTATTTACTGGAAAGGGAGGTACCCATGGTACCTCTCAAGCACACTAAAAGACCTCAAGTATGACAGTATCTCTCTCCCCCAGCTGGTCGATCGATTACAAGTTTGCACAGGCTAGCTGCCTCTGAAGCTAATTCACAAATATCGGTTTCACCAATCCGTTCCAAGTGAGGGATAATAAGATTTAACAGTACTTAACTCCGTCTGGAGATAATTTTCCATGAAATCAAAGTTACTCTTGAAAAAAAAATCTAGTTTGACATGATTGGGATTAGTGTGATATCAGACTATCAGAGACAGTAATGGAGACTGAAATCGATCGTACAAGGATGAAATTAATACAGATATGTATTTAGTTGCCAGTACGTAGTACAATTTATCACTCTAAAGTTTGACAAGTTTAACTAGCTTAATTAGTAGTTGTTGTTTGGTTGGAGGCGCACTTGGAACAAAATTATCTTCAAATCATACAATGTCGACGAACTAAAATAAACTGTGCTAACATTTTCTTAAGGTTACTGAGGTGTAGTTAAGAATTTGATCATCTCGATCAACTAATTAATTAGACAAGTGTGTTCAATAATTTAAAAAGCTTAGATAAGTTATGGTAACTTCATTAATATATAAATGACGAAAAAAGTTAAGCCGGCAAACAACCTCATCAGATGGCTCGATCACTTAATCTTCTTCAACTGCATGTAGAGATGATATTGTTGGAGAGCAAATTTTCTTTGTTTTTGAAAACGATTAAGAAAAAGATGGATATGTTTCGACGCTTGGAGCAGTTCATGGTCGCATTGTCTGATGCAGCACTAATAAAAGGTTCCAGTCAATGAACTCAATAATTGGGATGCGACTACTACTGGATTCATTACTCACTTGGTTACTCAAGGAGATTATTGTACTTGTTATGTTACCAGCTGACTGCAGGTTCATGTGGATACTCATGCTGTTGAACAAGAAAACCGTGCATATACGCCTGATTGTTTTTTAAGAATGGATCATGGCATGATACTGGTTATACTCCCTCCGTATTTT